CTCGAAGCAGACATGTCAGCAACAATCTGTTGTTGTCGCTGCACCACTCGCGTCAGCGAACCCTGTCCCGCAGCCTCAGTTAGAGCCCCAGGAACTGCCTGAGTTGAGAGCCCTTGATATCGGGTCCCAGTGGATTGAGTTTGAAACGACCGGAGGCGGTGTTAGCGGGGCTAGTGTTGGCCTCGCCTCGGATGAACCTACACCACTACCCTCTACCACACCACAAAAAGCAACAACTGCTAGAACAGAACCCAGGCTCTCTCAAGCACTTTCGGCAAGCCCTTATTCACATTCAACCGAGGGACAGTCCATGCTTACAGCTTACCCGCCCCATGGAATTATGTCTCAGCAACAGCGACTTCACTTGTACCTTCAACAACAACAACAACAAGTGCAGCAGGTTGATTTGAGTGGGAGTATGGTGGACCCTGGAGTTCCTCCTCCACCCGCACGCTATCGCGGATCAAGACCACCAATGATCTGGCGACAACCAGTTTCCCAATGGTTCCCTCAATCCAGGAGCAGGAGCAATGTCACCGAAGTCACAGCAGTCACCATTGCCAGTTGTGCATGATCAAACACCAGTGGCTTCGGGCAGTGGAATGTTGCCGAGTCAGCAGCTAACGACGATGCTTCCGCAGGGTAAGCTGTTTCCTACTGTAAGTGTTGCTCGCGAAGCAGTTCGCTTTACAGTGAACAAGCCGTTTCACTGTTAGTTGAATTGGATGCTCTGTGTGTCTGTGTGTGAGACAAGTGCTTTGAAATGTGGTACAGATTTGAGCCATTTCCTCCTTGGCGAATTGTGCAAGCTTATAAACGGTTTGTATGCATATTCAGCTCGGTTGCTGCAATAATTCGTGGTTTGAGACAAGGTTAGCTGCTGCAATTTCGGAACTGCCTCAAACCGTTTCAATTGGCTTTGACGTGTCTCGAAGCGATGATAGACCAGTTAACATGCCTACTCTTGCAGACGTGAGTCCCAAACGACCTGGTGACATTCACATGGCTGTACAATCTATGCCTGCCAACGGTCTGACCTCTCCCGTAGTCCCAGGCACCTCCACAGTGCTCCCATCGCATGTTGGTGATATCGAAGGCGATGGCGGTGTTGGTGGTGGTGGTGGTGGTGCTAGAAGCGGCAACGGTGGTGGCACCGCTGGCGTTGGCAGCATCGGAGGAACGCCAACGTCTCGTCGCGTGCATTATGAGAAGTGGGAAGACCAGGAACGCCTCGGGCATCGATCGACCATTGCGCCTGTGCTCTATGCCAACGTGGTCCATCCCGAACTGAAGACTCAGTGGCCAGACGCCCGTGCAAGAGCACGAGAAATTCGAAAGCTCTGGCGCAGCCTGCCTTCTGAAACTCGCTCGACATTTGTGGTGAGTTTGCTCGGTAGCCATGTGGTGATGTGTCACATTCGACACAGCTGTCCCATGTACCTTCGCTGAACCACTGAATTCAGCGATATTTCCTCTTATCCGAGCAGTTGCATGTGCGATTCCTTTCAGAAACAAGCCCGCGCCAATAGGACTCAATGTCGGGCCAGCTCAAGTGCCATCGCAGGCTCACCGCACGTGGTGCCTCAGTCACT